TTGATGAATTCTGCCTTTTGCCTTTAGCTGAAGAAGTTCCTGTGTGTGTTCGGATGGCAGTCTCACGTATCCTTCTGTTTGCCTGAGATAAATACTGGTTGTTTAAAAGGGTGGGCCTTTTTCTGGGAATGTGTTGAAGATGGTGCTCAGGGTCAAGACAATTTCTGATCTCTTGACCATTAAGTAATCGAAGGAGAACTGTTCAGACAGCTTAGGTGTTTCAGTTTGCCATGTAAACAGAGCCTGCATTGTGGTGTGTGGTTATTAGAGGTTATTTGAGTTTTTATTGGCTTGTTTTCAGAAATATGAGTAGTTCCCTCCTGAATTGCCAGAATATAAATTTTGACTAGACCAGTAAAAGGGTAGGTTCTTTTCATTTTACACAGCCTCTACTTTCTGAATTTTGTCTCCTCTGAATGTCCTGTTTGGCTGACTAAAGAAAGACAATTTTTAATTGTGATAACAGCAGTTAAAATTTAAATTCTTTTTTATTAAATTGTATGCTTAAAGGATGGGTCTGTGTTTTCATTTAGCTTTCTGGTTCTTGTTCATTTTGATGCACATTATTACTCTGCACAAAACTCAGTAGGAGTTGTTTACAGAAAAGGGAGAGGGACATTACCATTCCTAATAAAATATTCATATACTGATAAGCAGTGTACAGATTAGCTAGGTTGGGGTACTGAGAGCTTTTTTTTTTCTTTTTTTTTTTTTGAGTATAGCTTACATCCATATTTTTCCTAGAATTGGTGTTTAATATCTAGGCAAAATAGAAAGTACACGCTCATTTATACATGGGCATACTTTTGAGTTCCTCTCACAAGCTGATCTTCAGATTAGTTGCTTGTCTTTGTAGAAAAGAAATCTGCTAGGTTGTTGCTCAGAGAAATGGGGTAGGGTTAGAATAGAGTGGGAGATTCTGTTTTTGTTATTTTATGGCAGGATTCAGAAGCAGTGCATATTAGCATAAGCAGTGTAAAATTGGCAGGTTTCAAAAGTTTGCCTAAGGTTTTAGCTGCCTTTGTTACCTACTCATAGGGTAATTTCTGTTGCGTCCATAAAAAATGGGAGCTCTTAATTTAAACCTTATCAAAAACCTCAGTTGAGAACGTATTTTTAAAATGACTCATCTTCATAAGGATTGCTCATTTTGGGCCTCTCATCCAAGAAAATTCACTTGAAATAATACTTTTTTGAGTGATAGGAGGCAGGAGGGATGAATTTTGTGGTTTAGTGTTAAGAAATAATGTGCTAAGGGGGCAGAAGTTATTACAAGAGTATAACTGGGAAAATTTTAAATGTTCACGAATTTCTGGAACTTGAATCTTTTTTTTTTCTGTTTTGATAGAACATTTGATCTGTGCATTGCTGGGGAGGACTTTGATGATTTGGGGCATGGTAAGGGAGAGAAGAGGGAGAATGGCAGGAAACACAGCCAGTTCATTCTTTCACCAGAATTTGACTGGGAGCAGGTGCAGGACGCTAATGAGTGTGTAGGAATTTGCTTTCCTAAAGGTGGACCTTGGAACAGGCAAAGGAACAGAAGTCAGGAAACCTTTTTCCGATGCTGTAGGTAGTTCTTACCTTTTCATGGCAGTTATAGAGACTGAACCATCTTTGGTACTTAGCGTGATCCTGCTTGGCTTTAATTCATTTAATTTCTAGTGACCAAACGACGGATTTCCTATCATCTCTTAATAACTGAGACTTCAGTATTTCTTTTTTTTTTGTTCTCTGTTAAATTATAGAGGGTTTTTTTTCCTCCCTCTTAGGAGATAGAGAACATTTCTTCATTTCAGGTGGTGAACCTAAATGTTGCCTAATAAAATTAGATTTTAATTCTTAATTTCAGTAGTAAAATGCCTACCCTGTTCTCTTTCATAGGGGACATGGATTTCTTATAGAACTTTCTTATAATCCTATTAATGATTTAAAATAAAAGTATGATGAGCATGTGTTCTGCATAGAAGTGATTACTGAGAGCAAGTCAGGACAGTCTCTCTCTCTTTTAGCAAGTTGTACGTGATCTTTGGTTTAATCTTTTAGTGATAAAGATTACATTCGGTTGATGCTTTGTCCCTCTCCCCCTTTACAGGATGAAGCTTAAAAGAAAAATGCTTATAAAACAAGTGATCTTAAAAAGGGCACCAATCAGTGCTGGCAGAGTGGCTCACATGGTGAAGCACCTGCCTGCAAGCCTGTGGCCCTGAGTCCATGCCCCATATTACCAGACAGGAGTCCTACTGGTTGATAGTTATATCTTTGCTGGGAACTTGGGGCTTCCTCGTGCCTGTTTTCTTGAGGTTTGAAGATCAATAACGTGCTTATGAAGCACAATCAAATCCAGTGTCTACAAATACCAGAGCACAATTTGCTTTGCGTTCAACTTCTCACATATTGAGGGCCACACTTAGAAAAGCAGATGGCACCAATTGAGCTGCTAAATGAAGATGAATGACATTGATCACTAACCCCCTTTGAGGAATATATTCAGAATCTCTCACATTAAAAAAAATCAATTTATGTAATGAGCCATACAGTCTGTATCACATGTGTAGTTACAGGATTATACAAGACTGGTCTCTGTCATTCTCTGTTGAGACCAAGTGTTACATGTTGTGACAGTATCATGTGTTCCTGGTTCAAAAGACTTACTACCGCTACAAGCTCTTTAATACAGAAATGTGACTATAACATGGAGTCCAGCTGTCTCTGACAACTTACTGGATTTGCTTCTCTAGAGAAAGGATGGTGGTTTTTATTTAGGAAATGATAATGCTTAAGCTGTTTATCTGTGCCCCACAGCTGTCAGGGAAATGTAGTACACTGATCATAAAATTGCATCTGGGGCTCTGAATCCTCACAGGCCTTAGTGTTTCCAAAAAGGTAGAAAAGACATAGAGTTTGTGGTTTTGTTTTAAGCATATTGCGTGGAGGACTCACTGAGTCAGTCCACTGGCTCAGTTTTGTATGTATCTTTTTCAAGGCATGGTCACGAGTAGGGAAAAAGTCATTCTGAGCGCCTTCAAGCTGGCGAGAAGATCAGGTGGCACTAGAAATGGCAGCTGTGGAAGAGCAGGAACTTTGTTTTGTTGACTATTACATCTCCAATGTCTAGAGTAGCACCTACCTCTCACAAATCCTTGTCAGATAATCGAACCTCTGCTACTTACATCGGGCGTGAACACAGTCTGCTTCTGCACTGTCTCCTTACTTTTGTTTTCATTTACACTTCAGCATCAAAGGCCTTTAGGAAACTTGAGTTCAGGGAGTAAGTCTAAACCACAGTGACTTTACTCAGCTGATGAATGCTTGGGTTTTCGTTAATGCTGGTGATTCAGTCATCTTCTTAACATTCAGTGATCCTGCCTACCATGCTACAGAATCTAATGAAGAAATATTAAGAAACAAGTTATAGTTACTTCTTAAAATTTAACACCTCTGAAATTTTTAATATTGCCTCCATACTGAAGTTGTGCTCTGAGCCTATTTCTTTTGCCTTTCTCTTCTCCTCTCTCCCCCCTCCTTCCCTCCTGTTTTTCCTCTTTCACCTCTCCTTGTTCCCTCTCCCTTCTCTTCTTATCTACAATATGTGTTGATAAAAATTTACACTTTATTTCAGGTAACTTAAGGATTTAAATTTTTGGCTCCCATACCTCTTTGGTGATGGAACTTATGGGTAACTCTAACATGTAAGGGTTAGCTTAAGGTTAAATAACCTCTGCCCCACTCCCTTGCCCTGGTTTTGTCTGTCAGTGCCTAATGTGTTTGGATAGCCCTTGTAATATTAGGTCCTTTAGTTAATTGCTTTAACATAACTGCAATACATTCTGCCTCTTTAAATATGTGGAAATCCAAGGTCACCCAAACACAACTAATCTTTCTCTCCTGAGGTATACTTGATCTGCATCCAAGGATGGTACCTTGAGAGGACTTTTGAGACTCAACCTTTGTGTGGCCCTTATCTGCAAGTAATCCCTAGAGGCATGAGCTGTGTTTTGTTGTTTTGGCAGTGTGTTACAATGACATGCTTGTTTCTAGCCCAGGAGATGGTTATTGGGAGGAGTCCTTACTGGCACTGAAGCTGACCTACCCCAGTCTCTGTATTGAGTCTGCCTTGTTTGGCCCATCTTTTGAAACTTCATGGGCACTGTGGAAGTTTTACATAAACACATGTATATTCATGTCTCATTTTGACAATAAATCGAGTAACTTCTAAAATTTGTCAGATAATTCAAAATAGGTATAGTGCATTCCTTTATTCAATCTCACCCATGGAGTTGACCTCTGTTTTGAGTTTACTCCCATTTCCCCCCAGTTACCTACTGGACATACGTCTGCTTGGGAAGTCACCAGCCTATTGTAGCTGTCTACCTTCCTGGACTCTGTCCTTTGGCATTCTGTACGGTGGTATTCATTTATGTGACTTCAAGTCATTTAAACAGTCAGCCTACAGGGTGAATCGTCTGCAGATACTGAAATTTGCACAAAGCAATTATGTTGATTAGGTTTCTTATTCCTATAAAGTTCAGATTGCCTAGTTACAGGAATTCTTTGTGTTTAGACTTACATACTGTCATTTTATTTCTCAAACAAAAAGTTAGATTTCTTGGTTTAGGAGCCCGTTGTGTGTACAAAAGACTTTAAACCAACTAGCAGTCCAAGTCCAGAGTGGCTGTGATCATAGGTTTTAAAGAACCTGTTTCTGTAGCAGCATAGATACCTCTGATGAGCTGTCAGAAATGATCCTTGCTAGACTGAGGAAGACTTTTGAGTGGCAGACTTGGAGGTTCCCAGAACGCGCTTTCTAAGGCTTGCCGATTCTTCACGGGTCCATCCTGGGCAGTGAGACATTCTAGAGCCTATGGTGACTGAACAGGCCATATTGCAGCAGGTTAAAATCTAGTCTCATGGCGTGCAGACAGAAGTCTTACTGGGAAGATCTAAGTGACTTGATTATATTTGTCACTATAAAACAACAGTTGTTTTTTCTTTTGCAGATATTCTTTTGAAACCTTCCAGTAGAAGTAGTTCTCAAGAGCAAACTTCATTTGGTAAGTGCATTTCCCCCTATACTTTCTCTGTGCTAATTTGAAGCAGGAAAAAATTAATTTACAGGTTGGTTTTTGTTTGCTTTTTTTTTTTTTTTGGTGGTACTGGAGTTTGAACTTATGACCTCACGCTTGCTAGGCGGGTGCTTTTACTGCTTGAGCCACTCCACCAGCCCCAGCCTCAGATTGATTTTTGTGAGTCTGTCCTTATTCATAAAATTATTTAGGTGCCTTCTTCTATATTCTTTTAACTTCTTAAATGGGGTCTTCTTTTTAAAAATTTGGACTCACTAGGATCTTTTCCATATATATATATATGTATGTATATATATATATATGTATATATATATATGTGTGACATAATACAGTGTTCTCTATGTCTTGTATTTAAACTGAGATTTTTATGAGTTGCAGCACTAATCTGTTTTTCTGAAATATTCCTTGTCAATCTGGAGTTTAAAAATTTGAAGGTTGAGTTTTATTTTGAGCTTTCTTAAATTGGCATATATGTATGTGAAAAACCAAGGCCTCTTATTATCAGCTAGTAGTACATATATGAAGGTTTTAGCTGTGTTTGTTTGGTTTTTTTTTTTTTTCAAAACAGTCTTACCCAACTGATGATCCTCCTACCTCAGTGCCCCGAGTGCTGGGATTACAGGTGTGCCCCACCATGCCTGGCACAAGTGTGAAGTTTAGTTAGAAAAGCAAGTGTTGAACTTTGTCAGTCCTAGTTTTTTCTCCAGTGTGGTTACATGTGTCCTTTTTATAGACTGGTGCCTGATCCACATTGTGTCTTAATTACTGCCACTTAGATCTGTAGACAGTTATAATTCAGTTTTATTGAAAAGGAAAGGAAATTTGTTTTTAAGTTTCTAGATCCAAATCATCCCCTGTCGGGAGCCTTTAGCTTGCTGCTACCCCTAGAATAGGGATCAGGTTCCCGAACTTGGTGTGAGGGCGAGTCACCATTCCTGTGCCCCTCCCACACCTCTTGCTGTAGCCATGCTGACTTTCTTCTGTCCGTCACATGCTCTCCTGTGTGCTTTTTCTTTTTGTCTTGCTCTGCTTCATGTACCATTCCCATCCCATTTATCTCAGAGCTCAGTCATGAAAAATGACTTGCTTGAGTGCCCTGTCAGAATCCGTGGAATCATAGTTCTGTGTCTTATCACCCTGTGCCTTATGAGCTATCTCTGTTTGTCACCTGCTTTATGAATGCCCAATGGTAAGAACCTTCTTCACGTGTGGGTCCTGGGTAGCAGTGTCTTTCTCTATCTGTTCCCCTCGATCAGGGCTTTGTTTTGGTAAGAATAAGAACCAGATGGCTTGGATATAACCTGTGTCCTTGTCATCCATGTCGCTCACTGTCTTACTTGCTTGAGCTCTTCTTGTTTGTGAGTAGAAGGTTTTATTTTTAAGTAGGGAACCGAGCAGTTTCTCATTGAGTGCTCAAGGATGGAATGTGTGTGGTAGAAAGGTTCAGTGATGCTTTACTTTTATAAAGATTTCTAAGATGTCACATCATGGTAAAGGTGAGAAAAGCCTGCAGGTCCCACTGTCAAGTTCTCATGCATATTTTAGGAGATGTTCAACCTTGATGCTTGCAATAGGAGTCTTGTCCTTCATTTCGCTGGGTTGGTGGGCCAGGTTAGAACTTTGGAGAAGGAAATGCAATCCTGACATACTACTCGACTCTGCAGTATTTAATGTTGACACTGCCAAAATAGTGTTTGTTGATTTTTTTAAAGAAATATGGAAAGCTTCAGGAATTTGTGTGTCATCCTTGCAAGGGGCCATGCTAATCTTCTCTGTATCATTCCAGTTTTAGGATCTGTGCTGCTGATGTGAGCACTGCTCATTGGTTTTTAGCAAAGGTTTTAGCGAAACAGGGGAGTGTTACAGTCTTACCTGAAGAAACATCTAGGTGTGGAGGGAAAGGTGTGGAGTTAGGAGATTAATGTTGACACCATAGAACACTGCTTAAGTGAATACATGCCCGAGATACAAGGAGACCAGGGTTGTGACACATGGGTCTCATTGGTGACCCTGGGATGGACCCATTACTAGAGGAAGGGTATGATTAGATCAGCTGACAAAAGTGGAATAGAGGTGGTGGATTAGAGTTATGTATAAGTGTTAAATTTCCTGAATTTGAAAACTAGAGCTGTGGTTACGTAAGCGCCTTCTTTGCTGCTAAGAAGTACAGACTGAAGTAGTAAGGTTACATAGGCATGGTATATGCAACACTCTCTTATGTGGTTCAGAGGAGAGAAATACCGTGTGTGCACACAAGCTAATGCAGAAACTGTCCTGTTGAGATTTTTTGTGTATAGTGGAGCATTTAACTGGAGCTTGAGCCAGGCCCACACCTGAGACATGCCCTCCTGGCCTTTTTTTGGGCTGGCCTTGAACTACTATTCTTCTTGCGTCAGTCTCCTGAGTAGCTGGGATTACAGGTGTGTACCACTGTGCCCAGCCATGAAGACTAGGTATTGAACCATGTATAGTAATAATTTAAAAAGGGCCTATAAGTATATGCCACTAACAATACCAAGAGTGTTACATATGCATTATATCCTTTAATCCTCACAACTCTTGGATGAAGCTGTTATTTTTCAGATGAAGAAACTGAAGCTAAAAGAAGTAGCAGGACTTGCCCTCAAGGTCCTAGTTAGTACAGGTCAAATCACTCTAATCCCTGTGTCCAAAATCCAAAATGCCCCCAAATCCTGAAAGCTCCAAAATGGAAAAATACATCTAGTCCATTCATTTTGCATAATGGATACTCAGCCTGTATATGGCAGAATCAGGACTTACATCTCATCTGCACTTGGAGCTATTGCTTTACATCCTTGATTGTTTTTTCTTTTTCTTTGTTCCTTTTTTTTGTTGTTGTTGCTAGAACTGGGATTTGAACTCAAGGTCTTGCACATTTTAGACAAAGTCTTTACCACTTGAACCTGACCTGCAACCCTTTCTGCTTTTGGTTACTTTCCAGATGTGATGTTGCGTTTCTGCCCAGGGCTGGCCTGACCTTGATCTTCCTGTCTGCAGCCTCTGTGTAGCGGGGACTGCAGACATGCTGCACCATGCCCAACTTATCTGTTGAGGTGATGGTCTCACTACCTTTTTTCCCCTAGACTTATCTCCCTGCAATTCTTTGCTTCCTGAGTAGTAAGGGATTACAGGCATGTGCATATGGTGTTTTTTTCTCGAGGTCATTGTATTCGCACACTTTTCCCTGGTTAAATGAAAACCTTTATAGTAGTTAACTGAGTTTCCTTTTTAAAAACTTACTTTGTAGAAAAATTTATTTTCCCAATTACAAATGTGAAGTAAAAGTGGGAAAACAAAGTCCTTCCCACCTTTCCTAGAGGGTAGCCATCGTTAAGCCATCATGTTCTGTACTGTGCCTCTGGAGACGTGCTTCACAGTAATGCAAAAACCGCTCAGGCTCAAGTTGGTCTTGACTTTTAGGATGGTAGAACACAGGACTTCTGCTGCTGATAACTTTTGGTGGCTTTGAGTAAGCAGCAAAGCACGGATGTGCGTGCACATTTGTCAGTAAGAGCCCTCGCAACTCTCTTCCCCCAGCATTTATATTCTGTCCCCACTAAGTTGATTTTTAAGAAATAGTGACTTTACAGACATACAGGCAAGAGTCGTCCTTGTGGCCCGTATCGCAATTCTGGAAAAATGGGACCTAGGTAACTGACCAGTTGACAACATCGAGCTAGGGGGTACTTCAATACCATTTGAAAGTGGGCGTGAGGAAGGAAGGATTTAAGATCTGTAGCTCTCAGTTTCCATGTGTATCTGTATCTGTATACACACGTACTTTTTGGTGGTACTGGGATTTAAATTCAGGGCCTTGTGCTTGCTAGGCTGGCACTCTGTCACTTGAGCCACACCCCTAGCTCTTTGGGCTCTTAGGTATTTTTGAATAGGGTCTCACATTTATGCCCAGGCTGACCTGGAGCGTGAGCCTCCTATTCATGCTTCCTGCATAGCCGGGCTGACAAGTGGGCACCACCTCCACACCCAGCTTTTATTGGTTGTGATGGGGCCTTGCAAACTTGTCCCTCCTGGGCTGACCTTGAACTGCGATCCTCTTGATCTCCACCTTCTGAGTAGCTGGGATGAGAGGTGTGAGCTGCCACACTGAGCTCAGATTTGATACATTAATGGAAGAGAGGAAATAAGTTGGAGAACAAGAAATACTGCACCATCCTTCTAGTTAGCTTCCTGGGTTTAGGTTATAGTGTTTTTACTGATGCATGGAGAAGTATCTGAATAAAAGTACAAAATAGGACTGGGAACATGGCTCAAGTGGTAGAGCACTTGTCTAGCAAGATCAAAGCCCTGAGTTCAACCCCATGACTCCCTGCTCTCAAAAAAGTACAAAATAGTTAACAGTAGTTGCACTTATGTGTAGGTGTAATGAAGGGCAGCAAGGAGGAGGAAACTTCTGTTTTTTAAAATAAGTTTCTGTGCTATGAGACACATACTACATAGTTCACTCACTTAAAGTGTGTGACTTAGTGCCTTATTGTATTCACAAAATTTTAGAACGTTTTCATCACCTCATGAAGAAATCCAGACTGTATGTGGCATTGCACGCCTGTAGTCCCAGTACTTGGGAGGCTGAGCCAGAAGGTTGGTGAGTTCCAGGCCAATCTGGGCTACATGGTGAGATTTTCAACCAACCAGATAACTCCATACTCCTTAGCGGTCACTGCCTTCTACCTCCACCAGCCCTCAGCAGCCACTAACGGTTTTCTGTCTCCAGATGCCCCTGTTCTGAGCATTTCACCTGAGTAGAGTCTTCACACCATGTGTGGTCATTTGTGACTGGCTGCTTTCACTTAATGATGTGGTCAGGATTCACCCATGGTGAAGCATGTATCAATTTTTATTCCTTTCCATGACTGAAGACTCCACTATTTTGTATCTGCCACATTTTGTTTATCCATTCATCCGTCAGTGGACATTTGGATTGTTTT